CTCGTGCATGGAGTTGATTAGTTATTGGATACATTGAGGAAAGACGAGTTGGTGGTATTGTGCTTTGCAAAGTCAAATTTTGTCAGAGCAAGAATCCAAATGCCTTCATGGTTGGCTGTGTCGTCGCCAGAGAACAAGCGCCACCCTGCTGAGAAGATAGATCAAAGAGATACGGTCCAGACACTGCATGCACCTAGCACGTTCCAACAACAACAGCGTTGAACCAGTTTGCTGAAGCTCAGAGAAAGAAGAAGTGGTAGTGGAACTTTTGTTTTTTTTGGCAAAAAAAAACTATTAAAGAAAAGAGGCTTAAGTGATCTGTGTCACTGCGCTATGTCGTTAGCACGCGCTTACGAAGATCCCCATGAACAAGGGGCCTTGGGTGGGGTAGACCCCTTTGCCAAAGCCCACAAATTAAAAACTCCTCAAGCGCAACAAATTCTGCAATCCGTGCTCAGTTATACGTTGCACAAACCCCGACGAACTCGTTTCCCTACCACTCCCACCTTGGTGTTTGACCGAGACGAACAATGGCAAATGGATTTGGTAGATATGCAAAAACTCAGTCGATGGAATAAGGGCAACAAATATTTGCTGACCGTGATCGATGTGTTGTCCAAGTATGCGTGGGCAATCCCCATCAAATCCAAAAGCAGTAAAGAAATGATACGAGGGTTGGAAGGGATTCGTCGTCAAGCCTCACCTCGACAACCCCTTCGCGTGCAGACGGATCAAGGCAAAGAATTTTATAATGCAGGAGTCCAAGCCTGGTTCAAGAAACACGACTGGCATCATTTTTCAACTTATGGGGATAGTAAAGCCTCCGTGGTAGAACGATGGCATCGCACGTTGAAACAACGGATGTACCGCTACTTTACGGCCTACAATACCTTGCGGTATGTAGATGTGTTACAACCGTTAATCCACTCGTACAATCAGTCCTATCATCGGAGTATTGGCATCACCCCGCAGCAAGTCACAGAAAAAACTATGCCCGAGGTCTGGGCCAGACTCTACGGAAAGCGCTTGAAGCAAAAGACACCACCTCCCAAATGTCAAGTGGGTGATCGCGTACGCCTCAACAAGAAACATCGACCCTTTCAAAAAGGCTATCTACCTGGATGGACAGAAGAAGTGTTTGTGGTGACGCATGTACGTCGACATCCCATCGTGACCTATCGACTCAGTGAATGGGATGGTACGCCTATAAAAGGTACGTTTTACGAACCCGATGTGCAAAAAGTGCAAGTGTCCGATGACTCGTTATTTCGGGTCGAAAAAGTCTTGAAACGTAAAGGACGCAACGTATTAGTGCGTTGGAAAGGCTGGCCACCCAAGTACGATAGTTGGATTCCCGCCCATGGTACGAAGAAAACAAACAACGCATCGAAAAAGAAGAAGTAGACGGTTTCTGTACTCAATACCCACTGAAGCCAGTGACACGTCACCCCACATGGATGAGGTCGAGATCATGAAGTTCATTAACAAGGAAGCGGCGAAACAAAGACGAGCCAAAGTCAACAGAATGGCAGGGCTGGCCTTTGGTGAACAAGCTCTTCGTTCTTACACGGCTGTCCAAAAGAAACAACGCAGGCGCGCTGGTCGTCATCCGCCCATGCGCAAGAAGAAAAAAACCACCCAACAAAAAACTTGCTTAACTCTAATGGAACTAGCCCAGGCCTTTCCCAACATTGCTCAGCAAGTATGTTTTTATCCCAAACAATCAACCTTTAATTCTTTAGTGGGATGGGTTCCTCGTAGCAAACAGAAAGTGGTTCAGTGGCTATAAAAGCACCTTGTACTCTCTGCGACGCGCCTCTTGTTCATCATGAGTGAGATTAAACGCTTGACGCTTATCAGCGATCCGACCGACGAGTTTCCCAAAAATACTAACAACAGTTTCAAGGTCCGTTTGCCAGAACCTCTCTCCTTACAGGGCGAGGGTTGGTATGCCTCCTTGATGTCTCTGACCGTGCCGGATGAAGGTCAGAGCAATGCCGTCATCGCCTCGGATCCGCATACCAAAGTAATCCGATACAAACATCCGATAAGTACCCGCAAATGGACAGACACAGGCGACCCATCGACCTCAGGATATGAGAGCATATTCACCACATTGTCGACCAAAATGATCGAATTGGAAGAAATCATGAATGCAACTCAAATCGTGTCGACAGGGAGTCAGTTTTGGAAACGCGTGATGCATACGTTGCACAACAAAATCATGACCGAAGTAATGAAAGATCAATGGAACGCATCAGTTGCCGAACGCGACCGAAAACCGATTGTGTTTGTCAATAAACACGGTATGCCCCAACTGAGTTGGAAAGGGGAGTCTCTGGTGATTGAAGCGATTGCCAAAAAGAACTTGATGAACAATCGCCAAGTCAGCATGGTGGAGTTTTACATCAACGTGGACATTGCGCTCAAGTTTGGCTTGCTGCGCAGAAAGACAGGCAAGACTGGGTACGCCACGTCCGATTTTGTGCTAGGCCCTAATCTGCAATATTCTCTACCCACCAAGACCTATGATGAGAGCACTGGTCCCGTCGGTAGTCGATATCGAACCTATTACAATTGGGAAGGGAACGTGTACGAGGGCGTCAACTTCATCGGTAGTGCCTTTTCTATCATGACAGCAGACAATGTGAAATGGTTGAGATTGTTCCCTGCGTTTGAATGGCAGTTGCACAACCTGGATGCCTCGTTTGAAAAGATCGTGGGGACTCGCAAACGTACCGTCATGGTCTATTCAGATCTCGTCGAATCCACCGTGGTGGGCAGTGGCAAGTTTCCCCTGTTGCGGGAAGTGCAATTGTTGAGAACTGGGGATGGGGAAAGTACAGCAGAACCCCTGCACCACCAATGGATCAAACTACGAGGCCAACAATTGGATATAGTGGAAGTGGAAATTGCAAGTACCGCTGGACCCCTGACCATCTTACCCTCCGGCAAAACCATTGTGACGATAGGTCTCAAACAGCTATAAAAACCACCACGCACCCTTAGATGAGTATCCTCATCATGAGTGAGATTAAACGCCTGACGCTCATCAGCGACCCGACCGACGAGTTTCCTAAAAATACTAACAACAGTTTCAAGGTCCGTCTGCCTGAACGCCTTAGCTTACCAGGCGAAGGCTGGCACACCTCGTTGATGTCCATGACTGTCCCGGATAAAGGTCAAAGCAATGCCATCATCGCCGCGGATCCTCATACCAAAGTGATGAAATTCAAAATGAGCTATGTGATACGCAAGTGGGTGACGGGGGTGTACCGATTTGCTGAGGTGAAAACCGTGGACTGCGTGTTGGAATTGGAAGAGATCATGAATGCGAGTCAAATCGTGGCGACGGGGAGTCAGTTTTGGAAACGCGTGATGCAAGAAGTGCACAATAAAATAATGCACAATGTGATGAATGAACAAATGCGGTGGCTGATCATGGAACCTGACCAAAGACCTATTGTCAGTGCCAAACAAAACACCATGCCCAAACTGACCTGGAAAAAGGGTGCCTTGGTGATTAAGGCCCTTTCCCAAAAGGATTTGCTTAAAGCGGACAAGAAAGCCATCACCGACCTTTTTATCAACCTGGACATTGCGCTCAAGTTTGGGTTGGTAGAGAAAAAGATTGTCAACAACGCTACAAAGTATTACCTAGGGCCCAATATGCAATATACTCTGCCAACGGCCACCTATGATTCGGACACTCTACCCAAAGGGAACTCCGATCGCACGCCCTACAACTGGGAAGGTGTGCAATACATGGGCGTCAATCCCACCTTGCTGTTTGGCAATATTGTCAGCAGTATTGAACATGATCCCATGCAAGTTCGGATCCATGATGGTGTGAAGTTTTTGCAATTGTCCTTGTTGGTGGAATGGCAGTTGAACAACCTCGATGCCTCGTTTGAAAAGATCGTGGGGACTCGCAAACGTACCGTCATGGTCTATTCTGATCTCGTCGAATCCACTGTAGTGGGAAGTGGCAAGTTTCCCTTGCTGCGGGAAGTACAGTTATTGAGAACAGGTGATGGAGAAAGTACGGCGGAACCACAGCATCACCAGTGGATCAAAGTGCGAGGCAACCAATTGGACATCGTCGAAGTGGAAATTGCTGATACCAGTGGCCCACTGACAATTTTACCCCCCGGCAAAACCATTGTGACGATAGGTCTCAAACAGCTATAAAAACCACCACGCACATCAGAGAGAAGACCATACAAAAACAGAACAGAGATGCGAGGAGGGAGTTTAACGCGCTACCACACACCGGTGGTGACAACTCAAGAGGGAAAAGGGTTGGCCGAAGACTTAATCAAACTAGCTGGTCCTCTCATCGTGCAGCAAGCCCAAGCGGGACTCCAAGATATCCAACAAGGAATGAGTTTAGCCGACACCTTGTCGAATCGTGGAGAGCAAATTAAACGCGGCTTGAAACGCAAAGCTCCCGCCCTGGCCTGGACAGTGGGAAAAAAGCAAGCCAAACGAACCGCTCAAAATACCTATAAAAGAACGACTCAACGCGTACGGGATATTTTTGGATTGTGAATGATGGTACGCATTGGAGGATTTCGCAAAACGCAAAATCGCATTCGACTTCAGCGGCCCCGAGGCCGGTTCATTTCACCGTATCAAACGGGAGGGACTATCTTTGGTAAATCTACCACAGCGCGCTATCCCTTCATGTACTCATCATCCCCAGCACTAGAGCGTTGGATGAAGAAACACCTGCAGCAACGTGGCAAAATGAAAGGAGGTACGATTTTTAGTGACCGTAGGCGGAACAATCCTTTCGGGTTCCCATCGACGTCGACCCGGATCAACCCCGAACCCTGGAGGGTGAAACAGGCCCTGCGCCGTATGAAAGGAGGGGATCTCAGAAAAGTATTGTGGGCCAACCAAGCCAAAGCCAGAAGGCAACGACAGGGTATAAAAAGGAAACGTCGTTGAACGTCTTCACTCTCATTGTGCACTTGGGGCTGACCGAAAAAAAAAACATGTCGCTCAATTTGTTTGATGTCCCGAATGTGGATTACCGGTACGAAGCCTCCAGGGACGTGACGTTTCAACCTGCCTTGACGGGAATTCAGCCCATCACGTTTTCCATCCCGGCCTCCGAAGATTATTATGATCTCAACGAACTCCGTTTTCAAGTCAAAGTACGCCTGACTGATCCTGCCGGTGGGTATGCAGGATTGAAAGCCAATTTGGCCGATTCCGATGCCAACAATACCAGAAACACCTACTGCGTCAATAATTTTGCTCACTCCATCTTTCGAGATATTACCATGAGCATGAATGGTGTGCTCATGACTGAACAGAGCAATACCTACCATTACAGAGCCTACTTGGAAACCTTATTGAATTACAACAGAGAAGAAGGAGCCACCAAGTTAGCCTCTCAAGGCTGGGTGAATCAACTCAATGTGATTGATGAAATGGGGGCAACAGGTGCTAATTCCGATATTCCTACCACTGCTGCTTGGAGTGGAAATGAAGAGTTGCGAGCCTTGACCAGCCGGTTGCTAAGCGAAAATTGGCACACCTTTATTATCCGTCCTCATTTACCACCCCTCAAGACGGGTAAATGTTTGGTGCCTGGTGTGCAGTTAGACTTTGAATTGTTTCTAAACCCCAAGTCTGTCTACTTGATGGGTACCCCCAACAAAGGGACCTTAACCACCAAGAAATTTCCAGCCATCCATAATGATGACATCAAAGTCACCTTACTGATGCGAAAAGTGACCTTGAACGCGAGTGTCTATGTCAGACTGCAAAAAGAAAGACAACTGGGAAAAAAGATTGTGCGCTACCCAGTAGTTCGAAGTGAAATCCGCACCTTCTCCTTTGATGGAAGAACTACCCAGTGGGAACAAGACAATTTGTTTGTGGGTCGATTTCCTGATCGAGTGATAGTGGGATTGCTGCATTCCAATACGTTCAATGGTGACCTACAAAGATACCCCTTTGCCTTTGAAAAGTTTGGGGTCACCCGAGTGCGACAAAGTTTGAATGGAGAAGAATATCCTTACAGAACCCTAGAACTAACAGGCGATGAAGCCTATGAAGATCTACTGGGCTACGATCGCTTTCTACAAGCCATGGGTTCCTACAATGAAGACAAGATCCCCATGCTGTTACCCAGTGATTGGGGACAGGGCAACAACTGCACATTGTTTATGTTCAACAATGTGGCAAGTGGCAAAGCCGATGACCCTCAGTATCGCAACCCCCACCAATCGGGAAATGTGCGACTGGTGATTGATTTCAGGGCCGCTGTTAATCACAACATCACTGTGTTGGTGTGGAGCGAGTATGAAAACATGTACGAGATTAATCATCTGGGAGGTATAAAGTACAACATCAACGGTTGAACCATCCTCAGAAGAAAGCAGCCATGGAGTTTGTGGCGCTCAGCGATACCGTGTTGCGGTCGTTGGCCTTAGATGATCCTGAATTACGACGCGTGTTTCAAGGTGTGTACCCAGCCGATAAACTACCCTCATCACCTCCCCAAACCGTCCGCGCGGCCTACATTGTCAACACGGATCCAGCGGGGGAACCGGGACAACATTGGTTGGGCATGTGGACAGAACAAAACAAGTGCGAAATCTTTGACAGTTATGGTCTACCCTTGCACGTGTACAAAAATGCAGAGTTGCACAAGTGGTGGAGTCAATGGAAGTACCTAACCCGCAGTGACATTACCCTGCAAGCCATGGATAGTCAGACCTGTGGTCATTATGCATTATTTTTCCTTAAAGCCAGAGCCCAAGGACAGACCTACAAGGACTTTTTGGGCAGTTGGAGTACCGATAATTTAGTGTTGAATGATCATAAAGTAGCCCAAGACTTGAAACGAGTGATTAAACGTGAATTACAAGATGAAGTGGATGCCCGACCAGATGGGCAAAGTAATTTGAGCCGCCAGGCCTTTCTGCTTTGTAATAAATTGTAATAAAAAAACATGATTTTACTTGTCAAAATGTGTGTAGTGTCTTATCATCTTTATAAAAAAAAGACAAGTCCAGCAACAAAAGGTGTCATTTTTTCATAATGATTACACGCGGCGATGTGCAGCGCGTTATCGATGCATTCATTTTGAAAGAATCTCTTTATTGGTGGTTGCATCCCATCGAACGCGTTCAAACCGTCCGAGGCAATGATGCTTGGGATGGGTATCATTGGACCTTAGCCCGACAATTGGCTCAAGATAGAGAATGGATGTCCCTTAAAGCGTACATGGACACCACGGGTGAATCGTATTTAAGGGAATGTATGCAACACCTCATTCAGTCAGCGTCTCCTCGATTATACCGCGAGTATTGGACGGTATGTCGAGAAGAAGAAGAAAAAGAAAACCCTTGAGAACCTCTCAACGATGGCGATTTCCTCAAAACGGGCGCGGGATTATTGGCGTATTGACCAAAGCGGCCAAAATCGGTTATAAATTGGGACGTGATAAACGGTATAAACGAATGGGAGCCAAAGGTGCTACGGGTCATTACAGACGTCTACCTCGTCCGTGGGAAGGATGATACGACAACCAAGTAGCGTGATTATTGCTGGACCCTCGGGCAGTGGCAAGAGCGACTTGGTGGAACAATGGTTGCGGTACCTGAACGTGTTTCAAGTGAAACCCAAAACCATGGTGTATGCGTATGACCGATGGCAACCCAGATTCGAGCGTATGCAAAAAGAGGACGGCATTCGATTTCATCGCGGGTTACCGGACCCTAGTCATTTGACAAAATGGTTTGGCCCCACGCGAGGGGGTGTGTTGGTCTTGGATGATCTAATGGAAGAAGGGGGACAAGACAAACGCGTGTTGGACTTGTTTACCAAAGATTCCCATCATCGCAACATTACAGTGCTGTATTTGACGCAAGATTTATTTCCACCTGGTAAATTCTCCAAGACAATTAATCGCAATGTGCATTACATTGTGACCTTCAAAAACCCACGAGATCAAACGGGCATACGAACCATTTTACTTCAAGCCTTTCCTGACCGTTGGCGTCAAGTATTGCGACTATTTAATCGTGTTACATCACGCCCTTTTGGTTATTTGATGTTGGATGTTCATCCTGCCTCGGATGATCGTTACCGTTTGTGGAGTCATTTAACACCCCGAGAAGGTAAAGCGCAAGTCCATACGTTGCCCTCGGATGTCCCTTTCGTTCGAAAACGCACTGCAACGAGAACGCGAACGTCAACGTCGGCAAAGAGAAGGAGGACAACACACTGAATTATCAACCCGTCTGAATACCTGCACTCTGTCTCCGATAGATGTGGATTTACCGTCAGCAGTACCACCACCTTGCAAAAGCGTAAAAAAGAAAATAGTCCTTTCACCTAATGTGAGGTTCGACGAACAGTTAGCAACGCGCCGAGCCTTGAGACTATAAAAACGAGACACGTCGTGAAAAAGGTTCATCAGATGTTGTACAACCCATCATGCCACCCAAACGCAGACGACAACGACGAAAGCAACGAGGGGGTATTCTCCCGTTCCTCATTCCCGCTGCCATCGCTCTCGGCAAAGCGGCAGCGCTAGGAGCTGTTAGTGGCGGTGCGAGCTACGGTGCCAAAAAAGCTATCGACGCTGCTACGCGCAAGAAAAAAGTGGGCAAGATCAGTGCAGCGCAATGGGCAGCCAATAAACGAGACGTTCAGCGGATGTTAACTCGAACGGGTTTGCCAGGGTTAGCGACATTACGAATGCTAAAGTAAAAAACTATAAAAGAGGCATTGTTAGCTTCCCCAGAAAACGATGCTGGCAACATGGATTGCAACGTGGAAGAGTGCTACTCATGTTGGCGATGGCTCTCTCGCCTTGCAAGGTCAAGAAACGCACATGGCTGTGTAAAGGTTAGAAGCGATGCAGTGCTCAGAAGAAGAAAAAAGGTTCTAACGATTATTTTTTACAGTGCGACAAAAATTTTGAAGACAGGTTGTGTCAACAGTGTCGCGACCACATGCAACAATATTATCATGGGGAACTGTGTGGAGCACTTTTTACCATAAATAGACCTTCGGTAGATGCCCCAAAGCAACAATCACACGATGGATTGGCGCATGGAACGTCAAGCTCCGTTTCTGAAGAGTGTGTTGCGAGAAGCGGACAATCATAAACGACAAGAATTGTTACGGATGGCCAATGCGGATCAGATTAATGCCATCAGTGAGTTGGTCATGAACACGATCCGCGGAACCGTGCCCCGTTCTCGACACACCATCACTTTGCTGAAACCTCATGCTCAGAGTTTAAGAGCCATGGCCAAACCGACTCATTCGGTCAAACGTCGACGCGCTATCATGATGTCTCAAAAAGGCGGGACTCTCTGGTCCGAACTCTACCGATGCTATAAACGTACCATGCGTTAGACATTGTACCTCATTTACACCATGGAGCAAGAGATGGTGAGCACCTCTGTGGACAATGCTCCGGCTTTTTTACAATTACGAGACAAGTACAAACAAGAGTTGGTGGAAGATACTCGCTTGACCAAAGCGGCAGATTTAGCGGCCAAACAACATGTGCTCTTGGCCAGTGATGTGCCCGATGCATGGAAACGGCCTCAACTCAAAGCCGTGGGTCGTCAATTACGCCATTGGACCAAAAAAGTACGCCAACCGTTTGGTGCCCCTGTCAGTGGGGTAAGTGCTACAGGCACCCCTGCGACTGAAACGGGCGAAGATGAGTTTGATGCTGGCCCAGTGCAAGCCTGGTTGACGCAACTAGTCAAGGCTAGCCAGGGTATAAAACAAAGTGCCTCTCCTGCAGGACCCTCCAGACCCGGTAGAAAACCACGCGTACCACCCAAACCCATTATCACCCCGAGTGCCAAAAAGAAACTCAAGTTCACTCCCGAGGCGAGCACCGAAGAGTTGGCTCAAGAGTTACCCTTTTCAGACACGTACGGTGTTGAACCTTGGGATACACCCCGTGAACGTGCGGAATCTATCAAGAAAGCCGTCAAGCGCGGCATTCGCAAAAGAGCCACCGACGCAGCCAAAAAGAAAGCAGAAAGTCTGGCCAAGAAAGCCTTGGAGTGGGAAACGTGGAAAACTCCATGATGAGACGGACCAAGAGACGCCGTGCCGCACCTAAAACCCGCCAGCGACGACGACGATCGCAACGCGGAGGCAAGTTATTTGATGTTCAAAAGTTATTGGCCAAGACGGGCATAGAGTTTCATTGGCCCGGTTATCAGTATATGGGACCTGGGACTCATTTGGAGAAACGTTTAACCCGCGGTGACCCAGGCATCAACAGGTTAGACAAGATTGCTAAAGCCCATGACATTGACTATGCTAGAGCCAAAAACTTGAAGGACAAATGGACGGCAGATCGCAAGATGATTGCCAAGATCGATAAACTGCCAGGTCAGAAAAGTCTGACGGAACATATTGTCAAAAATATCATGAAAGCTAAACTCAAGTTGGGCATGTAATCATGTTGTTGTTATCTTTATGAATAAAAGAGATTGTTTATACCAAATTCTACTCAGTGTGGTGTTGTAGTTTTATTCCTCTGACAAACACAATGTTTTTTTCATACAATCTCGATGTCATGCACTATTGCCTATTGCATTTTCATTTTACCAGTGTCTATACGCATCGAGTGCTTAGTCGTGTATTAAAAGCAAACGTCTCACTAAATGTTGACAAACGGATGAAGCTATTGGCCCGTATCATGTCAAGTCGCAGGGAAAACTACAAATACCAAGCTCTAGCAAGAAACGAAGCAAGATTCCACCTAAAGGAGAATCTTCTTGAACAAATGCTATTGTCAGTGGATGATTTGGACGATTTTCACGAATCTTTCATGATCAAACTTGAACGTGACAATTTTAACAATAAATTATCTCCATCCGATGTACAAGAAATCAAACAAGCCGTACAACGAAGAAAACAACAATGGAGACAACTGGAAAAAGTCTTTCATGATCACTTACAAACCATTCCACCCGAAAGCATGAATTACATTCCTTTTCAAGAGGTATATAATCATGTTCGATCCAGAAAAAAACGTCAGATCAACCAAGTGATTCAAAAATACAACGAAACTCATTTTCGAGAATTAATTGATCAATTGTGGACCAAAGCGTGGAGTCAAGTCCCGAAGGTTCAATAACCACCGCAAACAACAAAAAAAGTTGCTGATGAGACAACGTGGAGGAACAGCATCATGGAAAGTATTGCAAGATGTTTGTCACTACCTTTACCGACAAGAAGATGTCGCAAATGCAAAGAATATAAAACAACTATGGCTAATCTACTTCAAATCATACAAGAACAAAACCAACAACTGCAAAACCTACAACGTCAACTGGATTTCACAAAGGCGCAATATCTCGAACAAAATCAACGATTATCTCGTATTCAAGAAAAATTCCTCTGCAATGCTTGTCTCGTTAAGTTCAAACAGCCCAACCAAGGTTTTGAACTTTGCTCATCATGTTCTTCAAGAGTACCAAACTGAACTCAGTCCTTACGATTGCGGCAGAAGAAATTGGGTAACTTGATAAACCTAAACAACCAAAGCAAGACGATTTGCAAAAGCACGACATGGAAATTGTATTAAATCAAAAAAGTGATTTTTATTGGCCATACAACGTGTTATTTTCTTGACTTCCGGTCACTTCCAGGGACCTGGGAAGCAGTTGGGGATAAGTCACGTGACTTGGTGACGTCGAAAGCAATCTTATGCGTTGCTTTCTTGACTTCCTATCGCGCTGTACGCGACAATCTCTCATGTTACTTTATGCGCATGCGTTGTTGGAATTTGTCACAAAGAAGTACCACAAGTGTGAGCGTACCACATCCATTGCAAATATAATGGTCAAGTCATCCCTCCTAGGTTATAAGACAATGCTCCTAACCGATGTTACTCCACGCGCATGCGTTGTTTAAAATCACCCCAAAACGGTACCACAAGCGTAAGCGTACAACATCCAACACAAATATAAAGGCCAGTTATTCCATTGTGCAATAGAGCACATTTCTTGACTTCCGGTCGCGCGCTCACTTCTGGGAGACTGGGGACTAGTTGAGAGGTTGACTTCCGGTTGTGAAGTCACTTCCGGTGGACTGAGCAGTCACTTCCGGTTGCGCTGGCACTTCCGGGAGTCTGGGGACTAGTTACAGAATACTGCGCTCTGATTGGCTACTATCTATGACAGTTAGAAAGGTCACGTGACCCTGTGACGTCATAGATTGAGTCACTTCTGCTAGTAGGCAATTACCCTTCAGCTGTCATAACGTCACAACAATCGCATCACATCATCACAGAGATTTTTCGTGACTCATACATGAAGTACCATCTAATTTTAGTTAGTTTTATGATGTCATTGAAATGCTGGCTTCTGATTGGTCGAGAGCTGTCACGTGACCTAAATACTCAATTCTGATTGGCTCTGGGTTATATTAACCACTATCACTACTTATTATTGAGAGTTATGTCTATGAAACAGAACTCACAAATCAGGTATTGTGTGAAGGGTTTCTAACGGAAGCAAGGACAAATACATGTAATTAAACACACTTCCTTAGAGACCGTGGATAATGTTAGGTACAATTGAGCCCTTGTAAATACTTACCCATTTTATTATACTAGGCGTAACTTTTCAATTAGCCATTGCCTTTGACCCGCCTTTCAATGGAGAACCTTTGACTCGTTTTCATTCAACCTGACGGACAGTTTTGACAATTTGGACGAGATTATTATGTATTGGGCAGGATAAAGCAGCTGATGTGGCAAAAAAGCATCAAAATCTAACATGAACAAAAGTCTGGCCCAACGACACTTTTCGGTTCTTTCCGAGGGGGACATTGGGGGGTACCCAATACCGAAAGAAAATTGGCAAATACCGAAATACCGCGTCAAAATCGACGAAATACCTATACCGCGTTTATGATCGGTCAAGTTTACTTAAAGCTGTATCCAATGCAACTCGCGTGTTTGTTTACCTTTAGCATGTATGCACCAGAAATCAACCTCAGACATTGCGAGAAAACGTGAGAAGACCTTGATCGGTAGAACGATCGAAAAGCCCGGTCATTGGATGCCCTTTCAATTTCGTTTAAATCGTGTATTAAACATTTACCATTAAGTCTAAAGTCTTAAAATATTAACTTTTATTAACATGTTTACCTTACTGTTGTTCGTGGTGCACATCGTATTGACCCGTATTAGACAGGAGAGCGCAAATAAATGGTACTGCAGTACCGTGAAGGATCTTCTTTTACCGAATGCCGTTAACCAAAAGGATGATACCGCAATACCGCACATTAAAATCAAAATTACCGAAATGCTGCTTGAAAACAAGCTCAATACCCTAAACCCCCATGTCCCCCTCCTTTCCTCTAGTTGTTCTCACCTGTAAACTGTTTCAAAAGAAATGCAAAACAAATAAAAAAAAGTATTTCGCGTTCGGTGATGAAATATAGGATTATACGCGTGATCACCAAGTCGCTTACCCCTGGAATATTTGAGCCCCATTTCCATTTCTTTTGAAACATTTGGCCATTTTTTGTAACATGATTGAAACCGGTCTTATAGTCCCCAACTCCACTAAAAGTGTCAACCTAGTTAATAAAACAACCCTTGGAAGGACTTTGTTAATGTCCAAACACTAATCACTGTTACCTGTAGCATAAATTGGTTTTGTTTTTTGTTTAACAGGATCTGCTCTCTCGGAAATTCGACCGCCATTCCAAGCCAGGTATTGCTTACTATCGTTATGACATCATTGGTGCGGAAATGGTGAAGAGTTATGAGTTAGTTCATTAAAAGAGCACTCCTTTGAGGCCTCTATGGTCCCACAGTAGACTTTGTATATTATCAAGAGAGAGGAAAAAAGGAATTAAAAGAAAGCTTTCTTACTGGTAGAAACGTTCACAAAAGAGAGAGAACGAAAGAGAAGAAAACCCGCTGAAAAAATCTTTGTTTTTATTTAACAGAATTGCCATTGTTATTTTTTGACGGCCTGACAGTGTGATGTAATGAGCTTATCCCTGACCTTACCAGCCGCGCAGCAGGTTTGTTATATACATGAAAATAAGCAAAGCAAAAAAAAAAAGATTTCTTAGAACGTTGTCTCTTTGATGTATTCGTTTTTCTTTACCAACTCTCGATCGTCGAGAAAAAATCGACATGGTTCTAGTGAAACATTGTGAATATCACAATGTTTAAACTACTTTCTTTTCTAATTTGAAGGAATTGTTACAAAATACTGTCCCGGTAAATATTTTTAAGATAAAACGTATGAAATGGTTTGGTTTGCATATTTCGCAAACATGATCACTGACAAAAATCCTTGATTACACCGCTGATCTTCCCTTTCTTCCTTTTTTTCCTTCTCCTCGAAGCTTGAAAACCACTTCAGGTCGGTTACTTAGACTGGATATTCATTCAGAAAGCCGAGCGAGATCCAACAGATAGCGATGTTAAAAAGAAAGGACAATCAAGCAGTTGTGCAAGAACAGTTATATTTTGACAAGCCTGGTGAAGACCCGGGTCGGTTGGCAGATGACGTCATTGAAGCAGCAAC